ATATCTAGCTCTTTATCTTGCGAATAAGATTGACTGGGATTCTCCCAGCCTTAGGCCGAGACCCAAATCCTGCCCAGGCCCAAATCCCAAGGTCCAGGCCTAAGGCCTAGGCCCAGGTCCCAAGGCCCAATCCCCAAGGCCCAGTTCCCAAGGCCTTGGTTTGGAGGTCCTGCCCTGCCGCCCTATTATTTCGAGGAGTCAAGCTCGGACCACAGCCCAATCACAGCCCCATCACACCCGAATCAGAGCCTTTGAGAGTTCGCCGACCCGCTTGTTTCATGCTCGGACCACAGCCGATTCACAGGCACACCACACCGGAATCAGAATCAAAGCCTTTGAGAGTTCGACGATCCGCTTATTTCATGCTGTGGGAAATCACCAATTCACTTGTTTCCAGATCCGAGACATCGCGAATGCACTTGTTTCAAATTCTGAGAAATCGCCGATCGGCTTGCTTCAAGCTCTGAGACATCGCGAATGCACCTATGTCATTCTCAAACAGTGTCTTCAGAAACATTCATTGGAACTAAGATGACTTGTTTCGAATTCTGAGATGAACTTGCCAATCCATATATTTCAAGTTCTGATACATCGCCGTTCCGTCTCAGAATCACAGCCGATTCCCAGCCAAATCACTGCCACATCAGAACCTGATCACAGCCTCTGACAGATCGCCGATCCACTTGTTTCAAATTCTGAGAAATCGCCGATCAGCTTGTATCCATCTCTGAGACATAAGCGATAAAAAAAGCTATTTCTCAAACAGTGAACTCTGAGAACTTGCCAACCTATGTACTTCTAATGCATCGCCGTTCCGTCTGAATCACAGCCGAATCCCAGCCAAATCAGAACCGATCACAGCCTCTGAGAAATCACCGATCCGCTTGTTTCAAGCTCACACCACAGCCGAATTGCAGGCACATCACACCCGAATCAGAGCCTTTGAGACTTCGCCGATCCGCTCGTTTCATGCTCTGAGAAATCACCGATTCACTTGTTTCAAGCTGAGAAATCGCGAATGCACTTGTCACAAATTCTGACAAATCGTTGTCATTGTTCGGCTTGTGTCCATCTCTGAGATATAAGCGATAAAAGTTATTTCTCAAACAGGGTCTTCAGAAACATTTATTGAAACTAAGATGTCCAGGAGTTTGGGACCGGCTAGAAAAAGTGAGCTCTGCGTTAGCAGCGACACAAGCAATCGATGATTTCACATCACAGTCCGGCACTTCTCAGAGGGCTTGCCACCTGCCACAAAAGGTGAACTGTGTTTCAGCAGCGAGACGAGCAATCGATGGCTTAGCCGGATCACAGCCGAATCCCACACAACCACATCACACTCGAATCACAGCCGCTTGATCGCACCATCACAGGCACAGGAACCTCTGAAAAATCGCCGATCCACTTGCTTCAGGCTCGGACCGCAGAATCACACCACTGCAGCCGAACCACAGCCTCATCACAGCCGCATTCCACCCGAAACAAAGCCGAACCGCAGCCACATCACAGCCGCATCACAACCGAATCACAGCCACAGCCACATGACACGAAAGCCGAATCCACTTCTTTCGAACTCTGAGAATTCGCAGAACCATTTGTTTCAAATTCTGACACATCGCCGATCCCTTTGTTTCAGAATCACAGCCGAATTCCAGCCAAATCACTGCCACATCAGAACCGGATCACAGCCTCTGAGAAATCGCCGATCCGCTTGTTTCAAGCTCGGACCACAGCCGAATCACAGGCACATCACACCCGAATCAGAATCAAAGCCTTTGAGAGTTCGCCTCCGCTTGTTTCATGCTCTGAGAAATCACCGATCCACCTGTTTCAATTCAAGCTTTGAGACATCGCGAATGCACCTGTTTCATTCTCAAACAGTGTCTTCAGAAACATTCATTGGCACTAAGATGACTTGTTGCGAACTCCGAGATGAACTTGCCAATCCATATATTTCAAGTTCTGATACATCGCCGTTCCGTCTCAGAATCACAGCCGATTCCCAGCCAAGTCACTGCCACATCAGAACCTGATCACAGCCTCTGACAGATCGCCGATCCGCTTGTTTCAAGCTCGGGCCACAGCCCAATCACAGCCCCATCACACCCGAATCAGAGCCTTTGGGACTTCGCCGATCCGCTTGTTTCATGCTCGGACCAGAGCCGAATCACAGGCACATCACACCCGAATCAGAATCAAAGCCTTTGAGAGTTCGCCGATCCGCTTGTTTCATGCTCTGAGAAATCACCGATCCACTTGTTTCAAGCTCTGAGACATCGCGAGTGCACCTGTTATAAACTCTGAGAAATCTTCGATCTGCTTGCGTCCGTCTCTGAGACCTCAGTGATAAAAGTTCTTTCTCGAACAGTTTCTTCAGAAACCTTCATTGAAACTAAGATGACTTGTTTCGAACTCTGAGAGCTTGCCAACCTGTGTATTTCAAGTTCTGATTCATCGCCGCTCCGTCTCAGAATCACAGCCGAACCCCAGCCGCATCACTGCCACATCAGAATCTGATCACAGCCTCTGAGAAATCGCCGATCCGCTTGTTTCAAGCTCGGACCACAGCCGAATTACAGATACATCACATCCGAATCAGAATCAATGCCTTTGAGAGTTCGCCCATCCGCTTGTTTCATGCTCTGAGAAATCACCGATCCACTTGTTTCAAGCTTTGAGACATCGCGAGTGCACCTGTTATAAACTCTGAGAAATCTTCGATCTGCTTGCGTCCATCTCTGAGAAATCAGCGATAAAAGTTCTTTCTCAAACAGTTTCTTCAGAAACATTCATTGAAACTAAGACGACTTGTTTCGAACTCTGAGAACTTGCCAACCTATGTACGTCAAGTTCTGATTCATCGCCGTTCCGTCTCAGAATCACAGCCGAATCCCAGCCAAATCACTGCCACATCAGAACCGATCACAGCCTCTGAGAAATCACCGATCCGCTTGTTTCAAGCTCGGACCACAGCCCAATCACAGCCCCATCACACCCGAATCAGAGCCTTTGAGACTTCGCCGATCCGCTCGTTTCATGCTCTGAGAAATCACCGATCCACTTGTTTCAAGCTGAGAAATTGCGAATGCACTTGTCTCAAATTCTGACAAATCGTTGTTCGGCTTGTGTCCATCTCTGAGATATAAGCGATAAAAGTTATGGCTTTGGATGATTACAGCTTTTCTAATATTTAAATTAGAAAAGCTTAGAGCGCCCCTGCGAGGTTTTCCAATTTTTTGGCGAATTTTGTAAAATTCTAATATTTGGATTGGGATACAAATTTTTTCAGAAATAATTTCTTAAGAATCTTTTATTAAATAAAATTTGAGGCGGCGTGATAGCGCCGCCGCCAGCAAAGCCTAAGCCTACCTAGATTAATTCTAGGGTCGCCTATACTACTTATCCTGGCATCCCCAGATCGAGGCCCGGTCCAAGGCCTAGGGGCCAAGACTAATCTACGAGATCAGATCTAGTCCTAATTCCTAGGAATACATTTTCCAAAGATAGAGGGCTTGATTGAGGTTCTTTGAAGCCCCAGGGCCCAAGACCAAGGCCTGCCTAGGAGGCCCAGACCAACCTACGATTTTGATCAGATCTAGCTATAATTCCAAAGAATAAGTTGTCTTTATTTTTTTTGGGGGGGCTTGGCTGGCATTCTCCAAGCCCTAGGTTCAAGGCCCAAGGTCCCAAAAGACCGGCCTAGAGCCCAGGCCATTCCTAGAAATGAAATTGATTGGGATTCTCCCAGCCTTAGGCCGAGACCCAAATCCTGCCCAGGCCCAAATCCCAAGGTCCAGGCCTAAGGCCTCGGCCCAGGTCCCAAGGCCCAGTCCCCAAGGCCTTGGTTTGGAGGTCCTGCCCTGCCGTCCTATTAATTCGAGGAGTCAAATAGAAATCTAACCAATACCTATAGGACATATTCCAATTGCGATAATTCATTTAGGCATCCCAATATATCCGTATTCAAAATCAATATTATATCAGAATCGGGTCATAAATTCTGGACAAGTCGCCCATCAGTAGCAGTACTATACCCGAAATAAAACCGAATCATAGCTATATCATAGCCGTATCACAACCGAATCACAACCCCATGATAGGCACAAGATGGCCGAATCCACTTCTTTCGAAGTCTGAGAATTCGCAGAAGCATTTGTTTCAAGTTCTGATATATCGTCGATCTCTGTATTTCAGAATCATAGTCGAATCCCAGCCGGATCTCAGTCTCTGACAAATCGCCGATCTGTTTGTTTCAAGCTCGGACCACAGCCCAATCCCAGCCCCATCACACCCGAATCAAAGCCTTTGAGACTTCGCCGATCCGCTTGTTTCATACTCGGACCACAGCCGATTCACAGGCACATCACACCCGAATCAGAATCAAAGCCTTTGAGAGTTCGCCGATCCGCTTGCTTCATGCTCTGAGAAATCACCGATCCACTTGTTTCAAGCTCTGAGATATCGCGAGTGCACCTGTTATAAACTCTGAGAAATCTTCGATCTGCTTGTGTCCATCTCTGAGATATCAGTGAAAAAAGTTCTTTCTCAATCAGTTTCTTCAGAAACCTATATTGACACTGAGATGACTTGTTTCGAACTCCGTCTCAGAATCATAGCCGAACCCCAGCCGAATCACTGCCACATCAGAACCTGATCACAGCCTCTGAGCAATTGCCGATCCGCTTGTTTCAAGCTCGGACCACAGCCGAACTACAGGCACATCACATCCGAATCAGAGCCTTTGAGACTTCGCCGATCCGCTTGTTTCATGCTCGGACCACAGCCGATTCACAGGCACATCACACCCGAATCAGAATCAAAGCCTTTGAGAGTTCGCCGATCCGCTTGTTTCATGCTCTGAGAAATCACCGATCCACTGCTAAGTTTTCACTAGCGTAATGATTGCTAATGCATGACCCTGGGCTTTAATCATGTTTTCTTTTGGTTGTTTTTGGTCTCGGGTTTAAGAGCAGCCAATACGTTGTGTTGCATTCCGCGCCATGGAGATCAACATCCAGATCAAAAACGCGCAACCAGAAGACCTGCTGCAGGCGTTTGCGGCATTGAGCGGTGGATCCACAGCTTCGGCACCGTCGGCGGCACCTACCTCCACTGAGCATGGGAGACCGCCCTTGAAAAGAATCCGCGAAGAAGCCCGAGCCACGACCGCGGCAACAAGGAGATCCCCGAGCCTATTATTTAGTCACGAAGAACTTCGTGCGCTCCAGGCAGCAAACCCGCAGGGAGTTGTGCAATCATTTGCAGATGTTGCGGAGGACACCGAGACCGGGCAGAGTGCAGCTGGATCAGGGGCCAAGGCCAAGAAGAAGGCGCAGCCGTTTTCGGCATTCCGGAAACACGAGGGACGCACAATGTCCCCTCGACCCTACTTTCAAAGAAGTGATCAACTTGGAGCAGGTGACGCCCCGCCTACGCCCAGACCTACCACAGGACTGCCAGCCTTGCCAATGACATCGCACAGTGCATCCTCCGGACCTTCCAGGCCGCTGCTCGTAAGGAAGAGGCGCATGAGCTCGCGATCTCCAAGACGCAGCCCTCCAAGATGCAGCCCCACAAGGCGACATCGCAGCGACTCCAGACCTTCCAGACCAAGGGCGAAATTGAAATCCAGATCGCACACTCCCAAGACAAGATCCAGATCCCGCACTCCCAGGACAACATCCAGATCCCGCACTCCGAGGACAACGAGGCATTCTAGGCATGCAAGTTCCACTGCACCTACAACATCCAGGCAACAGGCCTCGAGGGCATCGGGCTCTGGTAATATTGGCACAACAGCAGCACCGAAGGCATCAGCGACAAAAGTGCCCAAGATCGACCCCAAGCTCTACGAGACCCCGCGGATGCCTTCAAGGATTACATTCAACAAGAACATCAAGCAGTAATTGGAAGGACATCGAGATCCCGCAGTTTCCCATTCATGACTCTACCACTTGCTTCAAGCTCTGAGACATCGCGAATGCACCTATGTCATTCTCAAACAGTGTCTTCAGAAACATTCATTGGAACTAAGATGACTTGTTTCGAACTCTGAGATGAACTTGCCAATCCATATATTTCAAGTTCTGATACATCGCCGTTCCGTCTCAGAATCACAGCCGAATCCCAGCCAAATCACTGCCACATCAGAACCTGATCACAGCCTCTGACAAATCGCCGATCCGCTTGTTTCAAGCTCGGACCACAGCCCAATCACAGCCCCATCACACCCGAATCAGAGCCTTTGAGACTTCGCCGACCCGCTTGTTTCATGCTCGGACCACAGCCGATTCACAGGCACATCACACCGGAATCAGAATCTAAGCCTTTGAGAGTTCGCCGATCCGCTTGTTTCATGCTGTGGGAAATCACCGATTCACTTGTTTCCAGATCTGAGACATCACGAATGCACTTGTTTCAAATTCTGAGAAATCGCCGATCAGCTTGTATCCATCTCTGAGACACAAGCGATAAAAAAAACTATTTCTCAAACAGTGAACTCTGAGAACTTGCCAACCTATGTACTTCAAGTTCTAATACATCGCCGTTCCGTCGGAATCTCAGCCGAATCCCAGCCAAATCACTGCCACATCAGAACCGAACACAGCCTCTGAGAAATCGCCGATCCGCTTGTTTCAAGCTCACACCACAGCCGAATCACAGGCACATCACACCCGAATCAGAGCCTTTGAGACTTCGCCGATCCGCTTGTTTCATGCTCTGAGAAATCACCGATCCACTTGTTTCAAGCTGAGAAATCGCGAATGCACTTGTCTCAAATTCTGACAAGTCGTTGTTCGGCTTGTGTCCATCTCTGAGATTTAAACGATAAAAGGTTTTTCTCAAACAGGGTTTTCAGAAACATTTATTGAAACTAAGATGTCCAGGAGTTTTGGGACCGGCCAGAAAAAGTGAGCTCTGCGTTAGCAGCGACACAAGCAATCGATGATTTCACATCACGGTCCGGCACTTCTCAGAGGGCTTACCACCTGCCACAACAGGTGAACTGTGTTTCAGCAGCGAGACGAGCAATCGATGGCTTAGCCGGATCACAGCCGAATCCCACACAACCACATCACACTCGAATCACAGCCGCTTGATCGCACCATCACAGGCACAGGAACCTCTGAAAAATCGCCGATCCACTTGCTTCAGGCTCGGACCGCAGAATCACACCACTGCAGCCGAATCACAGCCGAACCACAGCCTCATCACAGCCGCATACCACCCGAAACAAAGCCGAACCACAGCCACATCACAGCCGCATCACAACCGAATCACAGCCACAGCCACATGACACGAAAGCCGAATCCACTTCTTTCGAACTCCGAGAATTCGCAGAACCATTTGTTTCAAGTTCTGACACATCGCCGATCCCTTTGTTTCAGAATCACAGCCGAATTCCAGCCAAATCACTGCCACATCAGAACCTGATCACAGCCTCTGACAAATCGCCGATCCGCTTGTTTCAAGCTCGGACCACAGCCCAATCACAGCCCCATCACACCCGAATCAGAGCCTTTGAGACTCCGCCGACCCGCTTGTTTCATGCTCGGACCACAGCCGATTCACAGGCACATCACACCGGAATCAGAATCAAAGCCTTTGAGAGTTCGCCGATCCACTTGTTTCATGCTGTGGGAAATCACCGATCCACTTGTTTCAAGCTGAGAAATCGCGAATGCACTTGTCTCAAATTCTGACAAATCGTTGTTCGGCTTGTGTCCATCTCTGAGATTTAAGCGACAAAAGTTATTTCTCAAACAGGGTTTTCAGAAATATTTATTGAAACTAAGATGTCCAGGAGTTTTGGGACCGGCCAGAAAAAGTGAGCTCTGCGTTAGCAGCGACACAAGCAATCGATGATTTCACATCACAGTCCGGCACTTCTCAGAGAACTTACCACCTGCCACAAAAGGCGAACTGTGTTTCAGCAGCGAGACGAGCAATCGATGGCTTAGCCGGATCACAGCCGAATCCCACACAACCACATCACACTCGAATCACAGCCGCTAGATCGCACCGTGACAGGCACAGGAACCTCTGAAAAATCGCCAATCCACTTGCTTCATGCTCGGACCGCAGAATCACACCACTGCAGCCGAATCACAGCCGAACCACAGCCTCATCACAGCCGCATACCACCCGAAACAAAGCCGAACCACAGCCACATCACAGCCGCATCACAACCGAATCACAGCCACAGCCACATGACACGAAAGCCGAAACCACTTCTTTCGAACTCTGAGAACTCGCAGAACCATTTGTTTCAAGTTCTGACACATCGCCGATCCCTTTGTTTCAGAATCACAGCCGAATTCCAGCCAAATCACTGCCACATCAGAACCTGATCACAGCCTCTGACAGATCGCCGATCCGCTTGTTTCAAGCTCGGACCACAGCCCAATCACAGCCCCATCACACCCGAATCAGAGCCTTTGAGACTTCGCCGACCCGCTTGTTTCATGCTCGGACCACAGCCGATTCACAGGCACATCACACCGGAATCAGAATCTAAGCCTTTGAGAGTTCGCCGATCCGCTTGTTTCATGCTGTGGGAAATCACCGATTCACCTGTTTCCAGATCTGAGACATCACGAATGCACTTGTTTCAAATTCTGAGAAATCGCCGATCGGCAGAGATAAGCGATAAAAAAAAAAAGCTATTTCTCAAACAGTGAACTCTGAGAACTTGCCAACCTATGTACTTCAAGTTCTAATACATCGCCGTTCCGTCTGAATCTCAGCCGAATCCCAGCCAAATCACTGCCACATCAGAACCGAACACAGCCTCTGAGAAATCGCCGATCCGCTTGTTTCAAGCTCACACCACAGCCGAATCACAGGCACATCACATCCGAATCAGAGCCTTTGAGACTTCGCCGATCCGCTTGTTTCATGCTCTGAGAAATCACCGATCCACTTGTTTCAAGCTGAGAAATCGCGAATGCACTTGTCTCAAATTCTGACAAATCGTTGTTCGGCTTGTGTCCATCTCTGAAATTTAAGCGATAAAAGGTTTTTTCTCAAACAGGGTTTTCAGAAACATTTATTGAAACTAAGATGTCCAGGAGTTTTGGGACCGGCCAGAAAAAGTGAGCTCTGCGTTAGCAGCGACACAAGCAATCGATGATTTCACATCACGGTCCGGCACTTCTCAGAGGGCTTACCACCTGCCACAACCGGTGAACTGTGTTTCAGCAGCGAGACGAGCAATCGATGGCTTAGCCGGATCACAGCCGAATCCCACACAACCACATCACACTCGAATCACAGCCGCTTGATCGCACCATCACAGGCACAGGAACCTCTGAAAAATCGCCGATCCACTTGCTTCAGGCTCGGACCGCAGAATCACACCACTGCAGCCGAATCACAGCCGAACCACAGCCTCATCACAGCCGCATACCACCCGAAACAAAGCCGAACCACAGCCACATCACAGCCGCATCACAACCGAATCACAGCCACAGCCACATGACACGAAAGCCGGAACCACTTCTTTCGAGCTCTGAGAACTCGCAGAACCATTTGTTTCAAGTTCTGACACATCGCCGATCCCTTTGTTTCAGAATCACAGCCGAATTCCAGCCAAATCACTGCCACATCAGAACCTGATCACAGCCTCTGACAAATCGCCGATCCGCTTGTTTCAAGCTCGGACCACAGCCCAATCACAGCCCCATCACACCCGAATCAGAGCCTTTGAGACTTCGCCGACCCGCTTGTTTCATGCTCGGACCTCAGCCGATTCACAGGCACATCACACCGGAATCAGAATCAAAGCCTTTGAGAGTTCGCCGATCCGCTTGTTTCATGCTGTGGGAAATCATCGATTCACTTGTTTCAAGCTGAGAAATCGCGAATGCACTTGTCTCAAATTCTGACAAATCGTTGTTCGGCTTGTGTCCATCTCTGAGATTTAAGCGTTAGAAGTTATTTCTCAAACAGGGGTTTCAGAAACATTTATGGAAACTAAGATGTCCAGGAGTTTTGGGACCGGCCAGAAAAAGTGAGCTCTGCGTTAGCAGTTAGCAGCGACACAAGCAATCGATGATTTCACATCACAGTCCGGCACTTCTCAGAGAACTTACCACCTGCCACAAAAGGCGAACTGTGTTTCAGCAGCGAGACGAGCAATCGATGGCCTTGCCGGATCACAACCGAATCCCACACAACCACATCACACTCGAATCACAGCCGCTAGATCGCACCATCACAGGCACAGGAACCTCTGAAGAATCGCCAATCCACTTGCTTCAGGCTCGGACCGCAGAATCACACCACTGCAGCCGAATCACAACCGAACCACAGCCTCATCACAGCCGCATACCACCCGAAACAAAGCCGAACCACAGCCACATCACAGCCGCATCACAACCGAATCACAGCCACAGCCACATGACACGAAAGCCGGAACCACTTCTTTCCAGCTCCGAGAATTCGCAGAACCATTTGTTTCAAGTTCTGACACATCGCCGATCCCTTTGTTTCAGAATCACAGCCGAATTCCAGCCAAATCACTGCCACATCAGAACCGGATCACAGCCTCTGAGAAATCGCCAATCCGCTTGTTTCAAGCTCGGACCACATCCGAATCACAGGCACATCACACCCGAATCAGAATCAAAGCCTTTGAGAGTTCGCCTCCGCTTGTTTCATGCTCTGAGAAATCACCGATCCACCTGTTTCAATTCAAGCTTTGAGACATCGCGAATG